TTTGGGCTCCTTTGTCCAAAACACACACACACAACTCCCCCAGCAGTCCCAGGAAGGGAGCACAATTCAATCTCACACCTGTAAACAGTTACACATTTCTATAGCAACTAACGTTTGCCAGTGTGACCAAAGAATTCCCTTTATTATAAAAACCTAAGCAGAACAGTAGGGGGAAAATCCATTACTGAAGAAATACCCAATTCCAGGTAGAAAGGTCAGAATTGCTCCTGGGTTCTCAGTGTTGGATCCAACACCTTTGGGCACTTCAGCAACCCTCTCAAGTGTTTCAACTGCATTTTTTTTAAACCACCCACTGGCTGCTCCTCAAAGAAGAAAATTGTTGACAGTCTTAGAAAGACTGAAGTTAGAGTAAAATCTGATGGAATGTAATGACCACGTAATTTTTTTCTCTCAATATCTCAGAGATTCCCGAAAGAGGTAAGAGTAGAACTGTCACTAATATGCCATGGGGTAGCCTGTGCATGCAGGAAAAAAAAAAGCAAAGTTATAAAATGCAACACACAGGTCCTGCCAGTCCATGTTTATGATCTGTATTGGAGCTCCTTGTAGGGTAGGAAACAGCAATTCTATTATTCATAATATGCCTTATCTACTTCCCACTCCTATCTTACTTAGAAATAGTTTTAATTAATCTGGTTTCCTTCTTGCATCATATCTTAGTACAATTGCTGGGCAGAGTTGAAATCACATTACAAGGGTCTGTCTAGGGACTATTTTGGAAGGTATTGCATGTAATGGATGTGAATAATTTTCAGCATTTTTCGTATTCAGGATTCAGGGTAAAATGGGGTTTGTTAGGGAAAAAAATAGGAGAAAAGTGTCTGCAGTGTCCCAACCTGGCAAAGAAGTGTTGATAAATTGGCTGGGCAGCACTCAGCAGAACTGACTGACCCCCAGAGATCTGGGCACCGCTGGTGTCACTCAGTCCCAGCGATCCTGGAACATGGAGCCAGAGGTCAGGGCAGGTGCAGCCCGTTTGAACTGAAAGGAGGTTCATTGCTGAGCTAATGATGGTTTGTTATAACCTGCCTTGTGCACCCAGAGCCACCATCTCTAGCAAGACCCTGGCACAGCTGATTTTATTGGGATATGAACACGCCTGTGCCCTGCAGAACGTTCTGGTGTAGCTACAGAAGCAGTGGGTGAAGGCAGCAGGGTGTCAGGAGCCGGCTAATTTGTCTTATCAAAGCCTCCATCAAGTACCACGTGGCTGGTATTTGAGTTAATTTGGAGAACTGCAAGACAGAAATGCTTTGCACAGGATTGTCAAATCCTACACAGTTCCATATAATCTTAGAGTGGGGAATGCAGGGAACACAGGTTTGTGCTTCAGTTTTCATGTTAACCACCATCATGAATTAGTTCAGCAGTCTCAGTAGTGCACAGACAAACATTCCTGAGACACAACATCCCTGCAGTCATGCCCAGCTCTCAGGGAATGCACAGACAGGGGAGATTAGGAAAGGCAAAGGCTGTAGTTTTTGAGGTAACTAACTGTGGAATGCAAATAAAAATCCATGTACTTCATGTACTCAAATCTCTTCATGTCTAAAACTTGATGATAAAGATAAAATTCTCCACGTGGACAGAGGTGTATGAAGTATCCTTGATTAGTTCAGGTGAAGGATGAAATGTTGGATGTTACACTGGAAGTAATTTATAAATGGGCTGTTTTTCAAATGCAGCCTGCAAGTGCTTCAGGAGAAAATACTTTGCCTCAGATTTCCAGCAGTGCTCTTCACCTTAAAAATCCAGTGATACAAAGTATGCTTTGCTAAAATTTACATTTTTATCAGTTTTCGCATACGAAATCTCCAGTAATAAATTATGTTTCAAATCCAGAAACCTGAATTCCAGTTTGATTGAGAACAAGTTTAGGATTCCCTAACTTTATGATAAGAAACCACAATACAAACAGACAAACGGAAAACACCTCAAATCCTCCAGTGAAACAATACACAGGTTATACTCGTAAAAGGTGTTCCCGTGAAAAACTATTTTGCCTCTCATACTGTGCAAATCCTCAGTGTCTGGATCCAGAGAAATGGCCATGAAGACTCATCATCCTCTCCTGAAATGTCCCTGTAAGGAACTGCAGTTGCACGAGGTGTCTGCTGTGAGATACTGCCACAAATAAATCTGACAAGCAAACAGCTCCAGCAGAATGGATTGTATCTGATGGAGTGTCAGCCTGCTCGGGAATCTGAGGGCTTTTATGGCTGAAAAGAATGAAAGAACAATTTTTGTGGAAATGTAGGAAAGCTGATAGTCAGTGCTTGGGTACGACTGTTTTAAAACAGCCCCAAGTATTCGGTCTATTCCTCACTGCCAGGTCATGGTGTGAGCAGTGAATCCTGATAATACTGAGGGGTGAGGTTTAAGAACAAATCTGGTAAATCCTGGTGTTTCTATATGCTGGACACTATTTTAGAATATTTATATTTAGTCTAGAGATACAAACTCCCACTTAATTATACAAAGTAATACCCAGTGTTTTATTTGTAATCACTTCCAGGATTGGGAATTTGAAAATATTTATTAAAGTGATAAATGACCTCTGACTCTTCTATATCCTATGTTGTAGAAAGACTGACCACTATTATATATACAATTAGTTGTACATGTATGAGAATTGTCCTTTCAGCCTTTTTCCAGTGAAAAAATGATGATTGATTGCTTGCTTGATTGGTTTCTTCAATGAAATGTGCCAAACTGAAAAGGAACTTCAATCCAGGATGGGAATGTATCCACTCTGAAGTGCCCAACTCAGTGTAACATAAATGCTGTACAATCACATCTCACCTTCCTGTTTACCCCAGAAATCTGCACAGTTCTCTTGTGATATTAAAACAGATTCCAAACCCCAGTGAAGAGCAGCTAAACCACAGTATTAAAGATGCCTTTTAGACTCAACGTGGTGATCATTTCATTTGCTGCCTGGCTCCTGTTCCTCACTTTGCAGGCACAATGTTAGAATCTCTGCAGGGTTGGAGCTGCTGCCCCGTTCACACGAGTTACAGAACGTGGGGCTGCGTTTTGGAGCCCACTGGAGGTGTCAGACCTGCTCTGCTCACACCCCGAGGCCAGCAATCCCAGGGAAACTGTGTTTCCTTGTGACATTCCTGGTGCTTTCGGTTGCAGCTGGGCAGGGAGGAAGGAAAGCAGCGCTGTGGCTTCTGTGCTTTCATTTTTAGTTCAGTGACGGCGCAGAAATTAAAATAGAAATTATTGAGGGGCAGCAGGAACTATTAAAACAAGCTCCAGCCTTAGACTGAGCTCAAATCTGCTTTGGGCTCAGCTCTTCCTGGCCTTGGCCCACGAGGGAAGGCAGCTGCCCCCTGGTCCTTTGGGCTCTGGAGATCTTTGCTGCAGTGAGACTGATGTGCTCCTCATTATACCTTGACCTTTGCACAGCAAGGCAATACTCTTGCATTAATGATACCATAAATAAACAAAACTTAAATATTTACTCTAAGGAATGAATTGAAATTATCTCCGTTGAGCTCGAGAGTCCACTCCAGTATTAAATATTCAAATCAGTAATTATTAAAGCTATCTTATTGTAAGTCTGAGTCCAAGGTCTAACACAAAGGAAAGCAGTGTATATTAAAATGCCTTTAAATACATTATATAATAAAAGTTGCACATGGTCATTGCTATGAAGGAAATATTATACTAATAATAAGAGTATGAAATATTCAGGTTATTGGAATATATTGGATATTTATGCAACTATTCTTACGTCATAACTGTGCACTTGTTCCTGTGATTACTGTAAATTATTTAAATATATGTCAGACCAAACCAAAATGTTTAATGAAAGATCAAGGAAACTCGAACATCAGAACCACTTTTAAAAAAACCCTGGAAATATATGTATCCTCACAGAAGATTAAGCATTTAAAAATGCAGTCCATAAACCTGAGATAAATTCATAGCACAAGATTAAAAGCTTTGAGTATGTGTAATTCCAACTAGATCATACTCTAAAATATTTTCTCACTGTGCTCTAGGAGCCAAGTATTAATTCAATGTGTGCACATCTGCAAGACTATTTAACAAGAGGAGGCAGAAAAATAATTCAAATGACAGACAGTGTGTTTTAGTGGCTATTTTTGTGTATTCTGTAACTGTGTGGGAGATGAACAGGTATTTCTGATTTTTGGGAAAATATAGGTCCTGATTTCCAGTCACTGAAATTAATTCCACACACAGTAATCTGGAGTTTTGTTGCTTTGCTTCACAAACAGAAGCCTCTTGCACATAATGCACTTTGAAGGCAAAATGTGCTGTTCTTATGTATTAGAAAATAACACAGTTGTTTCAGGGGCAGAACATCACTCACAAATATTGGTTATTTAACAAGGGGTCTCAAACAGGAGCCTGCTGAGCTACTGTGTGTCGTTTTTTCCGAGAAAATGTACACTCCTCAGTAAACTGCATAAATCAGATTAAAGGAAATGTATGAAGAAAGGAAAAATACCGTCCAATTTTATATCATTACAAAGCTTTTTATATGACAACATATATGTCAAAAGGCACTGCAGTGAGTGATGTTTGCATCTCAGCTGGGGAAAAGGGAAGAAAACTCTCTTGCCTCCCATTTGCTGCCCTGGAATCAGAGGGATCCCTTGAGTTTTTAGGGTGCTTTCCACGCAGGGTGGGTGACAGATTTTGAGTTCTGTGCAGACCAGGCTGTTTATCCCAGTTACCTTCAGCCATTCCCAATCCCCTCCCCTCTGCCTCCACCACTGACAATTATTTGCTCACAAAGGCTTTGTCTATTCAGCAAATAACTGGGTGCAAAAGGCAATCCCCAGCAGAATGAAGTTAAGGTTAACTTGTTGAAGCTTTATGTAATTTGGAGTTTTACTTTGGACTGAATTTAGTCTGACCTTTAGGATCCCTCCCATCACACAGAGACTGAAGCTGCAAGTGCTGGGTTGGACTCAGCATCCCCATTTCCTGTTGGACACTGGTGGCAGGGCTTCTGATTTATTTGTCTCAGAAAAAAATGGACTTTGAGCTTCCTAAACCAATTCCGCAACTGAACCAACACGTGGCAAGTGGGGAAAACAGGAGAATTCATTTCTGAACTGCACTGCTGCTCTGAAGGGACAGATTAATGGATGTGGTCCATTAGTGTGAAATACAGGGTTTTTTGGGAGGCTGGGAGAATTCAGAATATATTGAAATTCCATGTTATGTTGTCAGCAGCTGCCAGTTCAATGAAGCAACGTATATGGTGCAGGAACTGAAACCATGGGGCATATTCCAGCTTTGGGAAGTGACAACAAAGAATATGCAAGATGAAAGCAATTCCTTGCTGTTAAAATGCTCATTCCTCTGGCAAGAAATAGGAGATGCTTGGTGGTTGAACAGGGTTATGCTGTGACCTTGAGACAAACCTTTGGAAGCAGGTGAGTGGGAAGTCTTTTAAATAGAATTTAAAAAGCATTTCTGAAAGATGCTACATATAAATACTAGAGTATAAAAGCATGCCCTGGCTTTTATGTAATAAGTTAAATTTGTGAATGGCTTTTTCCTTTTTTGTTTAATTTATTTTTTTTAAATTAATCCCTCTTTGTTGGGTTCCATATGCATTCCACACATCCACACAAACATTAGCTTTGTTTCTTTGGTGCTGATGCAACAGGTTTTCCATTTCCAAGGTTAAACTTCCCTCTGTGCAATAAAGCAGGAATATAAAAGTCTTGGAAATGTTAAGATTGCACTGAACTATGACAGCTGTTCTTGCTAACTTTGCTGCTTACCAGGGCTGAGGCTTCTACTGAGCAGAGAATTAACATCTGCTGTCACAAGCTGATTCCAGAAGTGACAGTAAGTTCCAAACTGAAAAACATTGGCACAATTTCTTCATATCCCTTACATTGAAGGCAACTTATGGGATTCACTGACTATGTGCAAGGGAGGCAGTGTTCAGTAATTAATGGCGTATTTAAAATCTGTGGCACACATTTGCATTTGTCTCCAGAGAAAGACTAAGATGACAGCACGTAGGTAAATACTGAGCAGAGTTTCACACTCGCAGGATTCCTGTGTCTCAGCAATCTGTAAGCTCGCTGTAACCAGCTGAAGATTATATTTACCCTACTGAGAAAAATAATCCTTATTAAAGAGTTTTCTGACTGTTTGTGCTTTCCCCTTATTTCTTTTCCTGTCACTTTTACTTCTTGTTTTGAAATCTGCCCGTGGTGAGCGGATTCTCTGGGTTCCCTGTGAACCTGTCAGGTTTTCAGTGGTCAATAAAACCCTCAAGTCTTTCCAGGTGAATAACTTACAGAATAAGGAGTGACTTCAATGATCAATGCCCAGAAGTGAGAGCTGAATTTGAAGACTGACATGTTTATCTTACCACGTTTGGCTCATTGATGCCCCGTGATTGGGTCTGCAGACAACATTAATAATGAAGTGCAGAGCCATCTGTTCAGCTGTCTATTGGAAATGAATCAGGAGAGGAGCCTGGCTCCAACTGCTCCAAATACCTACAGAAAACTTCCATGGAAAAAAATGAGGCAGTTGTAACCCCAAAAGGCTTCCTGACTGCAAGGAATGCACAGGGATCTCACAGCAGTTACTCAGCCCACTTGGACACGCTGCAGCATCGGTGAAAAACCCAACTATGACTAAATCCCACCTCCTCTGCCAGTGTGGGATTTCTGTTTGCTGCAGCTGCTTCAGGAAAAATATGGAGAAACATCCCAGGCACTTACTTGAAAAAAAGAGGGAGGTTCATCTGTTTGCTCTCAGGAGACGTGGCGCAGCTGTCATTTCAAATCAGATTTTCAATAGGTGTGTGGGAGTACGTGTGAGACGGAGGGAAGATAAGAGAACTTACACTTAGAGGAGACAAAGACAAGCTCTTCACGTACCAAAGCTATTCCTTTGTTGCTCCTACTAGTTCAACCTCATCCACCCTGAAGTTTCCACTTCTTTTCACTTCCTAAGATTCCCTACAGCCTCGGGTAATGCACTCTGGCAAAATGCTGTGCTAACCAAGACCTAAATTGTGAGACCCACAGAACACATCAGTAATTTCACACAAGAGAAACATCTTCAACAATAAGGAGCATTAAGTACCAGCTTCTGAAGCATTCCTGGCAGGATAAAAAAGAAACCTGACTGACAATTCTTTCCTCGTAGTATGGTGAGATTGATTGCCTTAGAAAGCCTATGCAATCACATTCACAGTGATATTATTTGAAGGCTCTGTATAATTCATCGACCACTGTCATGCATTGTGCATGTGATGTTATATTTTGGACACACTGGGAAGTATTAGATATAAAATTACTTTGTATGATGCAGCCCAGACGTAAAAAAGTGCCTTGCTTGGGACTACATGATTCAGCGAGAACATATAAATGGGAAATTACTGGAGCTGAAATTTTATTGCAAAGTTATTTATCTTTCTTATTACTTTCTGGATCCTTTTGTGCTTATGGTTCGCCACAACAGATAGAACAACTCTTACTTACACTTTACACTGAGGATTATGAAGGTGGGAGTAGTCACTGCATACCAAAACCTGAATTTTTTACATGTGTATATATAGGTTTATGCAAACACAGACACACACATTGTCTGACTAAACAGTTCCAGAATTACACTGAACATGAATAGTGAAGTGTTATTTCAAGAGAGGAAGAGGTGAAGGTTACTTGATTTTAAAGAAAAGGAAGGGTCTTTTCATTTGGAGAAGAAGTTGTTATACACATATATAAATGTCCTGGCTCTCCATGGATTTCATAGGTAGAAAAGCAAATGTTTCTAAGGAAAATACCTACTCATAAAGGTGAATGTGTACATCTATAGCTTTTACTTCTGTAAATGATAGAGAACGCTTTCAGTTCCCATCACTGGCTTAGGACTTCACTCAAGGTGCATCCCACGCACCATTTACTTTGTCAAATTAATTTCATGTTCATGTACGTAATTAGAGCACTGGCATTCCAAAATTTCACAAATGGGCTTTTATTTGCATTCTGAGTGTAACCACTGATGGTCATGGTTGTGCTTGTAAATCAGTCGTGTCCTGGCACTGCACCACAGAGCGGGCACCAGATTCACGTGGATTTAACTTTGGCCTCTGCCAACTGCAGTTTCTAAACATTTCAATTTCTGAGCTGCCTTTCCAGAAGAATCTGACAAATGATACACAATGAGCTGGGAGAGAACAAGTGGAGAGAGACACACGCCCAGAGTTTGCAGGGAGCAGCCAGTGAGGCACCACTGACTGCAGCGTGCCCCCAAAGCCCACCCCGGCATCACGAATTCCAAAGCCATCCTTACTTCTCTTTTATAAAGGTACCCACTGTGTGATCCCAGCCCTCTGGAAGAAGGCAGAAAGAAAAAGGACATCCACATTTAAATATCCTAATCTCCAGCTGGATTCAGCACTGTAAGAGGAAAGGGAATTAGGGGTTACAGAGGAGGCTCCAGCACAATACACATCTCCAAAGGCCTGCCCTTTGCTCCAGCTGCTTCCCCCCTGGAAGCTGAGCAGGGTCTAACTCAGGCTGGTTTAAAAGCATCTTCAACAAATATGAGAAAATGAATTAAAAACAGGAGAAGGAGAATCCCATATGATGCAGCCAGTTGAGATCTTTGCATTATTTCTTATTCTCTATAGTCTGAAAGGATTACAATTATGCTAATTTTTTGTGAAGGCTCATCATGGCAAGTTGGGGAGGAAGCATAAAATACATTAATTTATGGGGCTGTAGCAGAACTTTCTGTAACTCATACAAAGAACCTAAAGATTCCATGACCTACGTGGCTGTTCATATACAGGATAACAGCAGAAACCCTAAAACACACAAAGAACCAGATTTACCAGAAAGTGGTAAATATTCCGGGCAATGCAAGATCTGCTAAACATTTAAAATATGAATACTATCAAAGAAGAAACCATAGCTGTAGTTTAAACAAGATATTTGCAGAGCTGTGTGTGCTCAGAGATTCATAAATAGGAAACTTCCAGCTGAAAACTTCTTGTGTATTAAAACCTCTGCTCTTAATTGTGGCTATGTGACAATAATGTTAATTAAATGATCTTGGAATTTATCTCGCACAAGTATCTCTAAGGATCTACATACTAACATGGAAGTGCAAGTGCATTCCTGATAGTGATGTCTTGGAAATAAATCCTTACACAGGGATCTCTCAGCTCCAAAGAGAAGAGTTTTGAGATGTTCAGAAGTAGAAACAATTTTTTCCCAGTGGAAAGGTCCAGCATGCTGTCTCAGAGTAGTTGATGAAGGACTAAACTGATTCAGCCTGTAATTAGGAAACAACTATTCGTTGTGAGAGGGTATTTTGAAGGTAAAGGGCAGAGGAGAAGAGAGTTTTTCATTTGAAGAATGTGATATCACTTAGTGCTTAGTAGCAAAAAAAGACTTATTTTGATCTTTTCCCTTGCCTGTCATTTTCCTGTGCATGTCAAGTTGTGTACAAGCCTCCATAAATCAGCTGTAATAAAATCCAACTCATAGAAATGGTATCAAGTTATTTAAGCATTCCCAGAAAGATGACACAGGAATGACAAATACCTCTTTTACCAAGGCAACATGTTCACCTTGGCTATTAACTGGTGCATCTAATTTGTATTTTTATTTAAAATACAGATTTATAAATGCATCCTCAATGTCCCAAAATCAAGTACAAAATGACAGAGAAATGTCTATGTTTGGTTATGACATATAGTTTGCCCAGCTCTTTAATTAAAGTATTATTTTTTATAATTCAGTGCCATGATCATTTTTGTTCAAAAACATATCTCTTAAGCTTTAGTCCTGCACATATCTGCTGGAAAAACACATTAGTACACTGCTTCATGAATGGGAATTATTTTAACCTTTCGTAAAGGTAAACCCATTTCCAAAGGTTAATATTTAACATGGAATGAGTCCTGTACAAATGGGGATCTCACCCCAGGCACTATTAACCAAGAGTTTAGAAGTCACCTTTTCTGCATGAAGGGGTGATTCCCAGTGACTAAACCCCAGGTATTCAGCTGGTTATTTAAGGAAACCCTTCCATCTCTCTTTGCTGAGCAGAGCCCTGGGAGCTGCTCACCCCGAGTCCCTGGGATAGCAGGTTGCCCACAGGCCTGGATTGCTGCACTGGGGCGTTTCCCACTCATCCCAAACCACACCTTTATGTCCTTGCTGCTACATTTTTGATTGGAATTGCAAGAAAATACATCTCCAGAACAACTTAACTGTTTATTTTGTTACAGCAAGCTAGGCTTCAGCCTCCACGGGAAACAAAAACTCCCTGCATGGAATTTCCAATACTGTAAATATTCATGGCTGTGTCAGATGAATTTCTTGCTCTGCACACAGAGCCCTTCAAAGCACATTCAAGCACCATGCAGCTAAAAAAAATTAATTACTCT